AATCATGAAAATTTAAACATAAATGCATATTAAATTTTTATTTAAACAATTTTAGTTACATCGAAATAAAAATCGTATTGCTCGAACAACTTATGTTTTTATCACATTCAAACAAAAATAAAATTATGCCTAAAAAATTAACGAGATCAATTTGGAATCCTCTATATATTAATAGATGAGACACTAAATGAAAATCTTAAGTGTCATCCAAAGAGGGTTTTAAAGAACTTTTAAGAAAAACTATTAAAATTTTTTAATAACATTATTGTGTAAATAATTAGACTAAATTTATATCACATATACAATATATAACTATAAAACATATATGGAAGCAAAGAATATGTGGTAATTAATATGGAATGCTTTATTTAATAAATATAATGTATATGTGAGAATATCTTTTTTTTTCAATGACTATTATATTTTTTGGACATGCGTTAAATACGGGATTAGAATATTCAAAAAATAATTCATGATTTTTTTAGATACAGGAGAAATTAAAAATAACAAAGATATATCTCCAGTATTATCAATATATTTTATCTTACAAAATTTAATTTACATGATATTTAGACTAAATCCAGATAATTTTTGGGGCAATTACAAAAATACCACTTTTTGTGTGCACATTTGCAAGAATGCCACTTAGGAGTGTCCATTTGCAAAAATGCCACTAATTATAGATTTATAAAGCCTATATCTTAAAATTATAAACCCTAAAAAATGTTTTGACCCCTAAAACCCCCTAAATCCTCATAACTAAACCCTAATAGAACATAATTAACCCAAACATAAATGATATAAAGAAAAAATAATTTTAAAAAAGTGGCATTTTTCTAAAGATTTCAAAAGTGTGGCATTTTTGTAAAGTGGCACTTGAAAAGTGGTATTTTTTGAAATTTCTCATAATTTTTTAGAAATGCCAATTTTAAAAAATGCCATCATTTTGAATATTTTTTTTAAAATGCCACTAATCTTCTTGAATAGACATTTGGTGAAAAAATCATATTATTATTCAATGAGGGTTTAAGGAATATGTCAATTAAATTAACTAATGAAAATATTTTAATTAAAACTATATGCTATGGTGGAAATCGCTATATGTTTTTATTAATTTTATAACATAAACCCATTAATATATATTTTATAGAGTTAAGTTTAACTAAATGTAATATTTAGACTTACTATATCATCTATTTTAAAAAAAAATTTTGATATCTTAAAATCTTTTTATTATTATATTTGTAACAATAATATTTATTTGTAGATGATAACTACACTTACAAATATTTTTACATTTTATTATTAGAAAAAAATATATTTTTTGTTTGTTACGTCTGGCAAATTTATATAAATCTAAAATTTATTTGATTTATCGCATACTCTACTATTTACACAAATAATAAAACTCAATTTGACACTTCAAAGTTGATCAAAGCCTATGACATTGAAATATGTTTAGTAAAAATTTAATTTAATTACATTTATGCACAATACATATCATTTTATACGTTTATAAATATTAAAATAATCTTCTAAATATTAAGATCGATTAGAAAATATATTTCAATATTTAATCTCACGATTGGCATGGGTCAAAATATAGTTTACATTTTCTTGTTCTACCTTCTAGTTCACGTTCTTTAGCTATTAGTATTACAATTATTTTTAATAAGAATTATTGAATTGTATATGTCGAAAAAACAAATGGACCTAATAGTTTACTAAATTTAGGCCAAAACAAAGTAAAAAGCCCATAAAAGAAACGATAGATCTCTTTATTTTTTTCGTTAAGAAGAACAGCCGACGACGCAGTTAACGCTTCCGATCTTCACAAATCCGTTTCCAACTCTGAATCGTCCGATTTCACGGCGATTCTAAACCTCACTTTTGGGAATCGA